CCCCTCTGAGCTGGGGTTGGCTCAAGATTAAGTCACTGAGACTTGGGGTGTTTGTTACTGTGCATCTACCAGCCTTGACTGACTGACTGATACACCATGGTTACATAGCAATATAGCTAAAGGCAACTATATAGGACTCACATGAAATGGGCAGCACAGAGAAGCCTGTCATTAACTCTCTTTAAGAAGAAACAGTGGGTGGGGAGGGATGGGTGGGTGGGCTGGGATGGGAGTAAAGGACAGAAAACTGTACTTGAACAATGATTAAAATAAATTTTAAAAAAGTGAGAAAAAGAAACACACATATTATCAATATTCTGTTTCGAAAACACCTACAGTACTCTCGGATTTCTTGCATCTTTGATTGTATTAATTGTGGTAATGTTTGAATTATAAGGCAGATAAGTTTTCAAGAGAATCAGTTTCTTTTTTCTTTAACAACCACAACTTAACACAATAAGTCCACTGCTTTTTTCAGAAATTTCCAGAACACAAGGAGAGGGGGACACTGGGGCCAAGTTGGGTCCCCACGTTAGGGTCTGCAACTTCCTCCATAGAGAGATGTTTGCTTTGTGTCATATCCCTTTTTTAATTTTCACAGCGGCAAAGGTGTTTTTCTCTGAATATTTTTTTTAATTTTGAAAATGTTTAACCTACAGAAAAAATGGCAAGAACTGTACCCAGCAAAAACCTACATACATAGTCAACAACCGTTCTCATTTGACTGTGTTTTTGACCCCTTCCTCTTCCTCCTCCCTTCAGCCCCCCTCTGCCCCACATTCGGTCAAATCGTGTTGAAGTGGCAGAGATGATGACTGTCAGTCCGAAGCAGTTCACACATACTTTTTAAAAACAAGAACGTGTTCTTCCTTGGCCCCATGTGATCATCACACTCAAGAATTTTAACCTTGGTACAGAATTATGATCTAATATATACTCCATTTTCAAATTTCCCCAGGTACTCTCAAACCTGCCCTTTATTCGCTTTTTAATGTTCTCCATCTGGGAGGGGGGGCGGGAATTGAGTGAAAGAGGAGGAAGGGATTAGCCAAACTACGTGTGTGAGCAGCCCACGGGCACGGTCAGTGATGTGGGGACTGCCTGAGCCAGGGCTGGGGTGGGGCTGGGTGGAGAGAGGCAAAGGGAGAGAAAGCAGGACAACTGTAGTAGCAAAAGCAATAAAATACAACAAAAATAAGATAAAATAAAACACAATATTATCCATCTGGGATCAAATATTGCATTTAATTGTGAAGTTTCTTTAATCTTTTAACCAAGGATAGTCCTAACGCCTGTTATTTCCTAGTTCATGACACCCCCCTTTGTGAAAGGTGCCGTATCATGGTGACTCCCTGGGACAGTCATGCTCAGTAAAATGGGCTCAGATAGTTTTCACCAGGGACACCCTTTTTGTCCTGGAAAAAGAGGATTGCTAGGAGCTGCATTGCGGTGGAACTTTAAGAAGCAGCATTGACTCTGTTTAACCCAAGGGTCCACCAGACCGCATGTGGCTTGTGGAAGCCTGGCACTGCTCGTCATCCCAGTCCCTTTCCCTGAAACCTGGGATATCTCGTGAGTCCAGACGGGAACCGTTTGAAGGATATCGAGTCAAAAGTACTGGAAATAGGATATCGAGGCAAAAGATACAAACATCCGAAAGGATGGCCCCTCTTTCAGTTCCGTTGTGCCTCAAAAGCAGACGCGGCTGCAGACACATTCAAAAACCTTCCTCTAGTTAAAGCCAATGCTACATACACGAGTAGTACAAGCATTTTTCTCTGATGAATTCCCCGAAACTCATCCCACATGCACTGCAGAAAGACAGATGCCCTGGGACGACATGGAGGAGCAATTTGTTCAACAACAACAACAACAACAACAACAACAATATAATAATACCCAGACTTCTAGCCACCTAAGAGGCACAGATTTATTTGCCTAAAACCAGAGAGAATCTACCTCGAGAGAATTTCTCACTCCACTGGAAATTTCAAAGGCATGTCTGTTTTCCAATAGATCATGTTCTTGACACATTGCAAAGCTGTGGAAAATGTCTTGTTTTTAAACGACACACCGCACTGCACAGTTTATTTACTTTCACGGATTGCGGAGGCTTTATTCCTGCCCTGCAATGCTAAGTCGTATCCATAAGGTGTCAGCACCTTCATTGTAACCAGAATGGTCTGATCTTTCTCTTAAAGAGTAGTTTCTCTGGTGGCCTTAAGGTGGTGCCCAAACCCCAGGTCGATGGGAGCTACCTCCAGGTGGAGGGGCTGGTGGCGCCCAGGAGACGTGCAATGCGGTCTGTGGTGGTGATGGTGGTGGTGGTGGTGGTAGGGGGGCGGGGGAGGTGACTTGGATATCTTTTGCCTTAATCATCGCTTATTATTCTAGAAACACACAGGCCCCTCTGGGGCCCGATTCCACTTTCGGCTCACTGACAACCAGGTCAGGAAAGGAAGAAATAAGAAAGAAATTAGCAACCCCCTTTCCAAAATACCCTGGGAGGTTAAAGAAAAGACTGGAAATATGGTTTTTGCAAAGTCCAGGTGTGTGAAAGGTGTTGTTTTAATAGCCTGAACAAACATTTCTCCTGGAGTTCTACTGAGTGGAGAAGAAACCTAATTCCAGGGGAAAAGGAAAATGTCTCTCTCACCTTTTCTGTCTTGATTATAAGGTTTCTGGCCTCCAACCCCCACTTAGTTGAGGGGGGTACTGATTGTGGCAACTCAACCTAGTTCTTTTCAGATGACATTGGTTTAAACTTGGGCACCCTTGTAAATGCCAACTCAGGCAGAAACTGATCTTTTTGAATTTATTTTCCATGGTCCTTAGCTATTTTGGGTTTTAGCCTGCTCAGTGATAAAGCCTTTTTTTTTTCTTTTTAAAGCACCTCGTAAAAGCAGAGTAAATAATATTTCTTTGAGAAACCTACAGACTGAGGATTATTTCTTGATCAATAGCTTGCATTTCCAGTAAAAGTGTAAGAAGAACTCAAGAGTGCCTGTCACACACTCCAGGAGAAAGGCAGTTTTTGCCAGAGGTTTTTTTTTTTAAGATGTAATGAATGTACTAGAGGTATTAAAAATAATAAAGTCGTAGTGGGAGTTGTGTGTGTGTGGGGGGGAGAGAATGTTCAAACCATTCACCTGTGAGCTAAGGTAGTTTTATTTTACTTCGTTGCAAAAAGAAAGTCAAGTTAGAAAAAGAACTCAGAACAGCCATAAAAAAAATAATATTTCAGAAGTAGAATATTTGAGGTAAGAGGAACCTGTTTTGTACTTTCTCTTTGATTCTGAATTTATCATGAGATACTATCATTCGTAGATCATGTATACAAGTCTTTTTCCTTTTGTTCTTTCATTGGAAATGAGTGAGACGTCCTCCGTACCTCCTGTCCACCTCCCGAAAGCTGCAAGTGACGCTGGAGTCTCTCACCCTTTTCTTGGGAATCTAACAAGAGTTAGGAGGGGAGGAAAAAGAAACCTGAAACAAGTTTTATGGGGTCTTCTTTCTTACCCAACCGGATGGACAGCTTCCAGAAGAATTTTGATCAGCTTTTAGTTCTTCTTATGGGGGTCCCGCCCCTTCAGGGGAAGCGGGCAGAGGGGGTCCGATTATTCGAGGAAAATAAGTATTCAATCCACAAATAAACAAACTTCCCGAGATTCCTAGAGAGAAGAACGTTTAGAAGTGTGAGGACCCCGAGTCTCTCCAAGTCCGTATCCCGAATAACAGCATCTCTGGGGGTGTCGTAGCCGTTGGCAATCGCGTTCCGCGTCCTACTACTGCGGAGCCCGGTGCCCAAATCACCTATCGAACAGCAACCACCCGAACACAACTGCAACATAAAAAGTCAGCTCGGAGAAGCCCGAGGGGGCTGTGCCGGTTGCAAAGTGCAGAGGGGCTGCACCCAGGTCGGTGCTCCGGGCGCCCGCCGAGGTCGGGAGCCTGCGCTAGGGACGCGCGCCGTGGGGCCAAATCCCGTGGAAAGTCGCCGGGTTTCTGGGTTTCTCCGCTCGGGCAGAGGAGCCTGGCTCTGCCCCGGCCCGGGCTTGCTGCATTGTTCCCGGCTTTGGGGAGCGCGGGACTCAGCTGGTCACAGGGAATTTCTCATGCGGGGGAACGGCCGCGGCGAAGCTGGAGTCCGTGGGCTGCGGGCGTCGACACGGGAAGGGAAAGGGGGCACTGAGAGGAGTTCTTTAACTGTCTCTCCTAAATTCCGCAAAACTGTCCACCATGACGCGGGTGATTTACCGAATCCACGGAGAATTTAGAGGATTAAATTCTCAAGACATTGCTCCTTTCCGCTGCTCCGCCTATCCCCCATAGACATTGCGGCGAGCCTCCACAGGTAGGGGTGAGGGGCATTCCATTTCTGCAATTTACCCCTAAAACCTTCATAGGTTATTCCTGACGGCCCTGAACCTGGAAATTCCCTGTTGATTATTAATTATTTGCTTAAATAATAACAACATCCAGGGGAGGCCCCTCTTTGCCAATCCAGCACGTTTGCTTTGAATCCATTACACCTGGGCCCCGACAATTAGGAAATCTAATTATTCGCCTCATCACTCATTAATAAGAAAAATAGTCCCAGGGTCTTTGCTACTTACAAGGTCTTCGGGGAGAGGGATATTTGACTACATTAATTAATTCGCTTTTATATTTCAAACTCACTTTTTTGCAAAGGAGAGTGGCTGCTTTTTGTTCTCGGCACGTGGGCCCACTAAACAAAATGTGATAATAAAATAAAATTTAATAAGATATAACTTTTCTTGAAAAAATCTTTTCAAGTTTAGACAGAGCTGCGTTGAAGTCTGGCTCTCAGCGTCTGGGTCTTAGAGCCGACGGATTCGGCGCTCCTCGCCCTGATTGGCTGCAAACTCCCCACAGCTGCCGAGTTATTGGTCCAAAGTTCTCGGAGGGGGCGTGGCCGGTGAAAAGTAAAAACTCGCTTTCAGCAAGACGACTTTTGAAACTTTTCCCAATCCCTAAAAGGGACTTTGCTTCTTTTTCCGGGCTCGGCAGGGCAACCAGTCTGGACCCCGGCTCGCTGACCCTCAGGGCTACCGATTTGCTGGGTCGCTTGGAGAGCCGCCTTCCCCCTCCTGGAACGGACCAGGGGCCAGCCTTGGTCCACCGCGCGCGTGGCGGCTCCGCCGCGTCCCCAGCCGCCGCCCGGGCTGCCACCCGCCGGGTCCTGAGAGCTAGCTAGCGAGCAGGGGCCGGCGCTGCGCTCGCCCAGGGCGCGCCCTCCAGGATGCTGATCCGCCCGGTTCGCTGAAAACGAGCGCCCCTTCTCCGTCCGAAGACGGGCGCCGGGCGCCGGGTGCTCCTCCACCTCGCCCAAGGCTTTCAGGCACCGGAGGCTCCCCCACTCCCGCTACTGCCTTCTCTCTCTCTCTCTCTCTCTCTCTCTCTCTCTCTCTCTCTCTCTCTCTCTCTCTCATTTCTTTCTCTCCCTCTCTCGCTCTCTCCGGGCCTTCCTCACGGTCCGTGCGAACAAGCAGTGGCGAGCGGTCTCGGACGCAGCATGCAGGCGCGCTACTCCGTGTCCGACCCCAATGCCCTGGGAGTGGTGCCCTACTTGAGCGAGCAGAATTACTACCGGGCGGCAGGCAGCTACGGCGGCATGGCCAGCCCTATGGGTGTCTACTCGGGCCACCCGGAGCAGTACGGCGCGGGCATGGGCCGCTCCTATGCGCCTTACCACCACCACCAGCCTGCGGCGCCCAAAGACCTGGTAAAGCCTCCGTACAGCTACATAGCGCTCATAACCATGGCAATCCAGAACGCGCCCGAAAAGAAGATCACCCTGAACGGCATTTACCAGTTCATCATGGACCGCTTCCCCTTCTACAGGGAGAACAAGCAGGGCTGGCAAAACAGCATCCGCCACAACCTCTCGCTCAACGAGTGCTTCGTCAAGGTGCCCCGCGACGACAAGAAACCTGGCAAGGGTAGCTACTGGACCCTGGACCCAGACTCCTACAACATGTTCGAGAACGGCAGCTTCCTGCGGCGCCGGCGGCGCTTCAAGAAGAAGGACGTGCCCAAGGAGAAGGAGGAGCGGGCCCACCTCAAGGAGCCGCCCCCGGCAACGTCCAAGGGCGCCCCGTCTGGGCCCCCCCTAGCGGACGCCCCCAAGGAGGCCGAGAAGAAGGTGGTGATCAAGAGTGAGGCGGCGTCGCCCGCCCTGCCGGTCATCACCAAGGTGGAGACGCTGAGCCCCGAGAGCGCGCTGCAGGGCAGCCCGCGGAGCGCGGCCTCCACGCCTGCCGGCTCCCCCGACGGCTCGCTGCCGGAACACCACGCAGGCGCGCCCAACGGGCTGCCGGGCTTCAGCGTGGAGAATATCATGACGCTGCGAACGTCGCCGCCGGGCGGCGAGCTGAGCCCGGCTGCTGGGCGTGCGGGCCTGGTGGTGCCGCCGCTGGCGCTGCCCTACGCCGCCGCGCCGCCCGCTGCCTACGGTCAGCCGTGCGCTCAGGGCCTGGAGGCCGGGGCGGCCGGGGGCTACCAATGCAGCATGCGCGCGATGAGCCTGTACACCGGCGCCGAGCGGCCGGCGCACATGTGCGTCCCGCCGGCGCTGGACGAGGCCCTCTCGGACCACCAGAGCGGCCCCACGTCGCCCCTGAGCGCCCTCAACCTCGCCGCGGGCCAAGAAGGCGCGCTCGCCGCCGCCGGACACCACCACCAACATCACGGCCACCACCACCCACAGGCGCCGCCACCTCCGCCGGCTCCCCAGCCCCAGTCGGCCCCGCAGCCCGGGGCCGCCGCGGCCCAGGCGGCCTCCTGGTATCTTAACCACAGCGGGGACCTGAACCACCTCCCCGGTCACACGTTTGCGGCCCAGCAGCAGACTTTTCCCAACGTCCGGGAGATGTTCAACTCCCACCGCCTGGGGATTGAGAACTCGACCCTTGGGGAACCCCAGGTGAGCGGCAACGCAAGCTGTCAGCTGCCCTACAGATCCACGCCGTCCCTGTACCGCCATGCCGCCCCCTATTCCTATGACTGCACGAAATACTGACCGGCTCTCAGCGCTCTGGCTTCGTCTCCCAGACGCGACCCTCTCGGACAGTTCAGGTTTGCAGAGACGCAAAGAAGAACCGAAACGCGTCCACCCGCTTTTTCTCAGACCCAGGAGCAGAGCGCGCGCGCGCCAGCTTCAGCCCTCTGGGAAGCTGCAGGTAACTTTAATTTGCCGCCCCGTTTCTGAGATTCTCAAGGGGCTTCCCCGTGAAGGGACGCAGCCCAACGAAATGAATATTCATTTTTAAGCCCCCTTCCCCTATCAGGATGGCTGTGCTCTCTGCTACACTCGGGGTTTCCAAAATTAAGTTATGGACCAAATATCAGAGCGACCCAGCAATGACTCTCTGTAGAGACCTCCACAAGTTTGTGGGGATCTCTATAGACCTCGTACGTGCTGTGTGTGACTTTAAATCTCTCTAACCGTGCTGTACAAACGTGTGGATTTGTAATCAGGCTATTTTGTTGTTGTTGTTCAGAGCCATTAATATAATATTTAAAGTTGAGTTCACTGGATAGTTTTCATCTTGCCCAACCATTTCTGTCAAATTGAAAATTCAGAAAACCTATGTGGGGTTTTCCTCCTGTACAATTATGAGGTATAATTCTTTCCCCAGTTGTAGGTCTTTTACAAAGCAAGAAAATAATTTATTTTTTGTTGTTGTTGGCTGACAAAGAAGTCAAGTATCTGATACTTTTTACTTACAAAAGTGTGATGGTTTTGTATAGTAGATTTCTCCCTGAGCATTCCTAAAAGAAAAAAAAAAACTTCAGAAATTTTAACTTCACCTGTGTTTGTCTTATGTGGCCTTAATTGTTGTACTTACCTTAAAATAAACCCATGTTGTTTTTCTGCCCAAAAAACAGTGTGTTTGTGTACTCGCATTAAAAAAGCAGCAACAAGGTGGGTCTGCAAATCCACCTGTTTTGATTGTTTTTTATGCAGGTGGGTAAATGTGTAGACAGACGTATATATAAAGAAAATCACAGAGAAATGGGGGCACCTCCCTATTGTCTTGTTTGTGACAAAAGGCTTTCAATTAAATCAGAATTGCACCCGGTTGAGGCAGTGCAGGAACCGTCCCGTCGGCGGTCTGCTGGAGCAACTGCATGCTGTAATGTCGTTTGCTGTGATGCATTTTGCTAAACGCAGAAAAAAACATGCCGATTGTCAAGACAAACAGTGCCATTCCATCTGCACGTCCAGTCATCCCCAATTTAGTAGGAGAAGGAAACATATTTTTTGTTAGCTAACTGCCACCCAGGGGCGACCTCCCTCCCCTGGATTTCCTAAAATGCGGACTTCCCTGCCCACTCTAATGGCTTTGTGGAGGGGAGTTCGAACTGGGCCGGTGAAGGTCCGGAGGGGACCGAGTCTGCAGCGTTCAGTGACCATCCTGGTAGTGCCCAGATCGGAGGTGGGTTTCAGATCTCTTTACTCCTTGACTGGGTGTCTAAATCTTTACCCTATTGCAGTGAAAAATCATAAGGCTTCATTGACCTTCAAAAATAATTTCCAGTGCTTTGAGGACTAAATTTATCAACTTTAAATAATAGGGAGATTATTTTTCTTTTTAATCTTGATATCTCGTCTTTTTTACTTTACTAGCAACACAACATTTGTGAGACGTGGCCAAGGAAAAAAGGCTTTGTTATCTGTTTAACTGGCTGAAACCTACAACTCTCCTGCTGGTCGTTGTGTCTGAATTTTGGGGCCAGAGCTCTAAATTGGTGAATGTTTCCCACCCCAGTATGTGAGCTGTGCCTCACCAAGGGACAAGCTCCTTGTCACCCTAACATTTCAGGCCAGGATGATTTCCCAAAAGGTGATTCTCTCTGATGCAATGGCGTGGAACATAACCTGGGTGCTGTATTGTTGTTTTAAACGTGGCATTATGTCTCTGTGTTGTGCTGAGATGAGACTGGGGGAAGTTTGGGCATAGTAAATTTCCCCATATGCGTGACACAGATTCTTTCGATCTGTAGCCCCAGAGGTGGCATGTGGAAACAACAACAACAACAAACGACTGCATTTTATTCCTTTCCACAATGCGCAGGACCGGGGAGCCCCAGTGCTCCGTACTGGGCTTCGGCAGGCCTCCAGGCCACAGTGCTCTGGTTGGGTGAGCTGGACCAGCCAGCGACAGAGAGAGACAGACACACACACAGAGACATGTGAGCTGCAGAAAGAGGCAGCCCTGCTCCTTGCCCAGTTCTGGCACGCTGGTTTCATTTTGCTCCTGTTCCATTTCTGCTGTTTGCCGCAGGAGAAGAGGAGAGGATTCTAGCTGACTTTCTCCTTCCTCAGGTGTTTCAGAAAGTCTCTCCCCAAAAAGGTTGCCCTCATCTTAAGTTCTGGCACTCAGGCCAGCTCTGGGAGACACATGGAGAATAAAGGAGAGAGAAATGGGATGGAGTGCGGGCGACAGACCCCGCACCACCTCTGAAACCTCCCTGGGTTTTCTACCTTCCGGAAGGCTTCTTAAAGAAGTCCCGCTGTGTGTGGGCCAATCACCAGAGTGGGTAGCTCCAGAAGGTTTCCCCCAACTGGGTGGAGACCACGGCGAGGGGCCCTTCCCTTCCCTTGGGAACATGGGCAACTTGGGGGATTGTGTTTGGGGCTTTATCCAGGTGGCAGTGTGGAGGCTGGGGTGTGTAGCGTCACCTCAAGATCCCTCAGTCTGAAACACTAGGGGCCAAGGTAGGTGCGGGTCGGTGCCAGAAGGCCGGCCAGTGTGCTGGGCACTGAGCTCAGAGCTGGCTCAGCCCGGCCTTGGGCCTGAGGGCTTGGCGGCAGTCTCAGGCATCTGTTGCTCCCCACGGAGCGGGAAGATCCTGAAGCACGACACCTTGAGCAGCTGGGAGTCCAGACATCAGCTGCGCTGCTTTTCAGGACTTCTCAGGCCCTGCACCTCTGCTGCCTGGGTGCAAAACTATGTGCCAGGCATGGGTTGTCTGCTTCTCTGATCCATTTGCTGCCCCTTCCTTCAGCCACTGGGTCCTTAGGAGGCTTGGGGCCTTTCAAGAAAAGGGAAAAGGAGGTCCAGGATAGAAGGGCCTGAGAGTCCGTGGCAGGCTCCTGGGATGCAGTTTGCATAAAGCCATGTCTGATAACCATGTTCCTTCCTGACCCAATAAGATAGAGTTTTGCAGGTCTCATAGATATTGCAAATAACATAGAAGCAACCCGAAGACCATGGCAGAAACCATTTCCCTCGAAGTTAACCCTGCCTCTCAGACTGGCCCTAGTTGGGTGGACTGTGTCTTTAAACAGGGTCCAGTTCTGACAGATACAGGCTGCCTGGAGAGACGCTGCGGCCCCTGAGCATCCTGAACAGTCCCAGCTCCAGAGAGGCTGCCGCTGGAGTAGCCTCTGCTTCTTGTAAGGCTCGAACAGATGCCCCAGCTTCACCGCTTTCAGGGAGAAAGGACTGCTGGTGTGCTGCCCATTCCGACCTTTCTTCCAAAGCCTGACTTGGGTCTGTGGCTGGCTGGACCTCCCTGCTCTGGTTCAAGTGGCCTGCCCTCTGACCACCCGAATCAGTGGCGATTTGCATCCTGGAATTGCTGGAGCACTGGGCTAGGAATCGGAAGACTACATCTTGCTGTGCGGACAAATGGCTTCCCTTCCCTGGCCTGGGTCTTCTCATCTGTAGCATGACCAGGTGAGTGCAAGGGCATTTCAGGCGGCCCAGCACTTCCCCCGCCCCCAACATAGCTGGGGCTATGGCCCTCCGTGGTTCCCTCTCCCCTCCCTGGTGGCAAGAAATGAAGATCCAGCATTGGAGGGAAGAAAACAGCAGGGTCCTGGGAACTTCAGCACTTGGCTCATAAATCTTTCGGGGTCCATCTCCTCCCCTCTACCCCAAGACTGCCTGGGGGTCACCTCTGGGCCTGGGAGAGGCTTGTGAGCTGCACTCAGCACAGACAGCAGAGTTCCCAGGTTCCCTTTGGAAAAAAAAAGTCCCTGTGGCTGAATGCTTGCCTCCTCGCTCCTCTCCCCACCCCAAATCCAAAAACCTAGACAAGGTATTGGGCAAGGTTAGCCTGATGGGAATTTATTAATAACCATAAACTTGAGGTGGGTAGAGAGACTGGCACCAAGGAAAGATACCTTTGATTAATGCGCAGAACTAAGTTTCTTGAGAATGTGCTGGGGTCTCGGAGCTAGTACCTGACGTCTCATGGAATATGCTCCGGGGGTCATCCCTGGTCAGTACGCTCCTGCCTCTCAGTATGGTGGAAAGGACAAGTAGAAATCAGAGGGTTTGTGTGTTGGTGCCAGCCAGGCCAGAGGCGGCTGGGGGGGTGCTGGACTCCAGGTGAGCAGGACACGCCGGGTCGGAGTCACCAGTGACTGCTGTCTGGCCCCACATATTTGGAATGCTTTCCCAAACTTTGAGAAGCATTCCCTTCCTGCCTCTTTCTTGCGTGGCCTCAGCGCACCAAGATGTTTGAAATGTTTGCTTTTTGACATTGGCATGTGAGGAAGGGGGTGGAATGTTTCAGGGAACTCGGAAGGCTGGGCTGCCACGGTCAGGGACGGCCACTGTGCCTGGGAAGACGCCACTGCCTGGACTTGTGCAAGCCTTTCTCTTGCGTTTGCAACATGCCTGCTGTGCCGCGGAGACAGAGGGGCATCGCTGGTGTAGCATCTGAGTCCTGAATGTGTCTCTCAGGCATCAGGCTCATGGGGGCTTTATCCTGGGCCATGAGGGTGTGAAAAGCTGAAGTGGAGGGAAGGAGATGGGCTGACAGATTGATGAGCTTGCCGCCATTGCAGGGCCCTTCAAGGGAACGGAGTTGGGGAGCCTTGGGAGGGTAGTCGCTGGTCTCTTGAGCCTGGGGTTCAGCTTTGTGCTCTCTCTATGCCCACCCAGGCTGGGAGGTCATGGAGTCCAGACAGACCACCCTGAACCATGACTGAGTGGCCCTTGGCCCTGGGCCTTCCCTTTCCCAGCAGCCCCTCTGGGCTCTCTCTGCCTTCGTGTTATTTTTGCAGGCAGGCTCCTCAGCGGAGCCTTTCTCTCTGAGCTGAGTACACACACACACACACACACACACACACACACCAGCTTAGGCCCTCTGCACAGGCCAGCTGAGGGTTCCTGTGACTTGGGGCATGCTACCTCTCTCTCTGGGTTCATTTCTCAACTGGAAAATGAGAGGGTCATCGAATAGGGCTACTGTGAAGGTTAATGAACCCAACGCACAAGGTGGCAGTGCTCCCACAGGGCTCAGTCCATGGCAGGGACGCGCTGTTAGGTGTTCGGATTCACCTGAATAACAGAAGAGAAAGGAATCTTCCGTCTCAATTGACTGCATATATCAGGCTAACCTGATGGGAAGGGCAGTGTGTGTGCCCTAACCGCCCCTTTCTAGACCCTTTAAATCACTTCTGGGAACAAGATGAGCTCTAAAAACATCAGTAATTAGGAAAATCTCACCCTGCCCTCTGGGCCTCACTCAGTATCAGCTGACCAGACAATGGTTACCTTAATGGCTCAGCCCCTGCCCCACCCCCACCCACTGCAGAGAAGCAGCAGAAGACCCTGCTCCCCAGTCCTTTCAAGGTGGGAGAGGAGGGGAGGGGAGGAGAGGACCTTCTGGGTTTTAGTGGGGTGTGAGGACTCTCCATTTCCTACTTTTAATGCCCAAATCTCCCAGTTCTGTGGTGCCCAATAACCTCCCCTCTCTGCAGGACCCCCTCCCCTTGCTTACTCTAGGCACATCTCTGGGAGCGTCTCGTGGACACCTGAGGTGGTCAGACCTCAGAGAATCTGCCTTTGAAGGAAAAAGTGTGGTTTCTGATTTCTGTTCTGCTATGTACCACCTCTGATGTCTCAGGGTGTTCTGTGCCCAGCCTCAGTTTCATCATCTGTGAAATGGATGATCACCTCATCTCTCAGAGCTGCTGCAAGTGTCCTCCAGAGAACTGCCACAGGGCCCTTAGCATCCACACACAGTGGCAATTATGTGATTGTTTTTCTGGCTTTGCAACACTCTCTCAAGGAGGAAATGGGGTGAGTTAACTTCCTGGCCTTAGTTTCTGACTCTGAAGAATGGGAACGATAAAGATTTTGTTTCTTGGGGTTGCTGTGAGGATGGAGTGCTCTAACTCGAGGAAAGCACTTCGAACAGGGCTGGCATATAATTGCCTCCAGGACATTTTAGTTATCCATAGTATCCTTATTACCATTATCCTTTCCAATGTTTTCAGGATGTCAGTAAGGTGTACTTGGTGAGTAAGTCCTGCGTCTTTCGCCCATTAGTGTTCTCACACATGGTAGAACCAAGTATGTTAAATGTCTTCACACTTAGTGGGTGAGGCATGTATCTGGAGAGCGGACGCAGGTCGTTAACTCGACTGTCTGTCTGCTTGTAATTTACGGGTGGAGCAGAGGCAGGGTAGGCGCCCCTGGTAGTGAGCGGGCAGTGACTGGAGCCCGTCTCTCCCCTTCAGCCCCTGTTTCTGAGGCCTTTGGTCCTGGTGGGTGCCTGGCCCCTGCCCTGCCTGCGAAAGGAGAAGGCTTTCTCCTAAAAGGTGGGGGCTGGGAATGGTACTGTCTGCCGTTTTCATCCCACACTGAACCCGATTTCTGCTGGGGCCCCGGAGTTGGAAGCGCTATGATCCTCCCTGGAGCATCCGGGAATCTCAGGGCTTGCCTGCAGGCTGGTAGAAGCGCTTGCACTGACTTCAGAGGTGAATGCGCTTTTCTGGGATCTGAAGACTTATGAGCCTACAGGGAACTTTGAAACGTTCAGTGTCTCCACCTGGCTGTCTGGGACACCCATTCTGCGCGGCTGCCTCCTACGCTCATCTGCCCCTCGCCCCGGCCCCGCCCGGGCCTCTGCTGTGTCCTCACTGGACAGAGCTTCCGCACGAGGGCGCATCCGATCTCAGACGAAAGGGCTTGAGCCTCGCGCTCCCCGGAAATACGCCCCAGCGCTGTCCTTCCTACTGCAGTTACAAAAAACTCCTCGCCTGGGAACCCAGCATTCATCTCCGCGCGGGAGCCGGATTGGGGCGCCAGGCCGGCGTTCTACGGCTACATCCTCCGAGAAACATTGCAAACTTCAGCAAATGCGCTCTCCAGACCGCAACTAGAACTCGGGTTTTTGTTTTTTTCCCCTTTACTATCAGTGCCCCGCCCACCAGCCGCGCACGTCCCCTCCCGCGCCCGGCCCATGCCCATATTGGGTGGTGTTTATTATTGTACGAATTCAAGCTCGGATTTGCCTTCGAGTTTAGGAGAAGCGTCGCTGCGGCGCGCCTTTCAAGAGAGGCGGGGATGTGCGTGCTGGACTCCGGTTGCCCGGGAAGTTCCAAGAAGGGCTCAGGGTGCGGAGATGGGGGTGGTGGTGCGTAGTGACATCCTTTTATCTCTTACTCTGGGTTCGTTAGAGGCTGGAAACCGAGCTGGATCCAAACTTGAGCTTGCGGAGGGCGCGCTGATCTGGAGAGTTTGGGGAACCCCGGGGACTGTGGGACCGCGGGTTGCAAAAGCGCGTCATCGAGGGTCTTTTTTCCCTCTCCAGAGTTAAAAGGGGTACTCTGGTAAGTGCCGGAGAGCTAGAGATCTAGACAGTGGACAGCGCCCCCGCCCCCTCCAGGCAAGAGGGCCACCTTCAAGACCTAGGCCCAGGAGGCTCGGTCTCAGTTAGAAATGCTGCTCCCTGGACAGAAGCTTGGACGTGTCCCGGGCCTGGCCTGGCTCTCCCTCAATGAGTGCCTGCACCCAAACCGGTTTTTCGACCCTGATTGCCACGTTCTTTTCGGTATTTCACACGTATCCCCTCCCTCGCAGGCTCTCCAGAACCTCCAAACTTCTGGACTCCCCATTTTGAGGTGCAGTTCTGAGCACTCTCAGCCAGTCTGCAGTGTTATGTCCCCTCTCTGCGGCAGCAGCGGCTGTGCCCCACTCCATCCCCACCCCTTGATGCACGCGCAGTCCCTCTCTCCCCATCTCCCGTGGGAGCCAGTCCTGGGCAATTTCTACACCCACCTGCCTCCCCACCCCTCCCTCTTCTCGTTGGCATTGCTGCCGATTTACTCAATGAAACGCTAATTCAGTTATCCCCAGTGTTTTTTTTTTCTTTAGAAAGTATTAATCAGAGATCATATACAGGAACTGGTCACGCTGCACGCACCACTCCTCCCACCGCGGTGGAGGGAGGGCAGAATGACCTCCAACGGAATCAGCCTCACGCAGGGTTTTTGATTCTAAGTCTGACGTGGCTAAGTGTAAAATCCATTGGGGTGGGGGGGGGTGCCTGCACCCCAGAGTGAGTGGGTGGGTCAGGGGAGACCAAACAGGCTTTGCAAATGCTTAATGTAATCACGGGCCAGCTGCGTGCACTTGTAAAGTTGTTATAACCCCCCTCCTTGTTATAAACAGGAAAGCGCAGAATATAAAGCAAGAGACCCGCATTCACAAATACCAGTTCTCCCCACGCCAGCTGCCAAATTCCCCTTTTATGGTGTTTCTTGCTTGCAACCTCAGTCCCAGCAGAAAGACCTTAAATTTCTCTCCCGGAACTCTCCAATTGGGTTTATTTTGAAATTTCCCTCAACAGAGCTTTGGACCAGGTAACGCACCCCTTCTCCAGCTCCCCTGCACTGTATACCTCTGCTTCAGGAGAAGTTGGGCTCCGGAAGTCCCCTTCCCTGTGTCCCCAGGGAGCCTTGGGGGTCGAGGCTTGCTGCCTCTTGGACACTAGCCACCTAGCGAAGGCCCTGACTCCTGCAGGGCATGCCCAGAATCTTTCCACGGAGGATGGCATCCTTTCTCCTCAGACTCCCGAACCTCTTAGATAGTGACGCCTCTCCCCACCACATATGTAAAAGCTTTCAAAAACCTTAGAAGGCATCTTGTGAGACCATGGCATGTCCACGTCTCCGATTAAGACAGGGAGAAGAAAAGACCTTTTGTGGGAGGCCCCGGGGGTTGCGGGGGCTCCCCTAGGTCAGCAGTAAAACTTACCCCTGCGCACCGCCCCCCATCCCCACCTCTCCTTCCTGGCCCGGCAGACCCGGCTCCCAGCCACCACGGTCCACATCCTGCCGCGCTGACTGTGTGTGCTTACAGCGTCAAGGGGTGGACGTGATATTTCAAACATCAGATCAGTGCGTTTATATATTGGGTGCCCGGAAATTTTTCCAAATAAACACAGCTTGATTCAACTTGGGTGGGCGGACTTATCAACAGACTAATTCTATAAACAAATGAAGGAATAGCCCTGAAACCGATTGGCTGGTATCAAAAAGACACGTGGAGAGAAAAGCTTGGAGTTTTTCAGCAATGAAATTTTAATTAATGTGGGTGGGCTGAGAACACAACGACTGTTTATCATAGACAATTTATTTTCCAGCGCTAAGTCAACATATAATAGCAAACTTACAACAATTATTTAACATTTTTGAAGCCATGAAGAAGGGACAGAGCGTGCAGCGGCCGGGGAGAGCGGCGGAGCGGGAGACGGACGCACGGCGGGCTCCCCGGGAGGGCCCCAGCGGCGTTGGGCGCAGTCCCTGAGCCCGCCCGGGTCGCTTGCGTCTCGGGGAGCGCATCACCGCCTCCCGCTCGCCATGAGCCACCTCTTCGGTCCCCGGCTGCCTGCTCTGGCCGCCTCGCCCATGCTCTATCTGTACGGCCCCGAGAGACCCGGGCTGCCTCTGGCCTTCGCCCCGGCGGCTGCTTTAGCGGCCGCGGGACGGGCGGAGCCCCCCCAGAAGCCGCCCTACAGCTACATCGCTCTCATAGCCATGGCAATCCAGGACGCGCCCGAGCAGAGGGTCACGCTCAACGGCATCTACCAGTTCATCATGGACCGCTTCCCCTTCTACCACGACAACAGGCAGGGCTGGCAGAACAGCATCCGCCACAACCTCTCGCTCAACGACTGCTTCGTCAAGGTGCCCCGCGAGAAAGGGCGGCCGGGCAAGGGCAGCTACTGGACGCTGGACCCTCGCTGCCTGGATATGTTCGAGAACGGCAACTACCGTCGCCGGAAGAGGAAGCCCAAGCCCGGCCCCGGGGCCCCTGAGGCCAAGCGGTCTCATGCCCAGACGCAAGAGCGCGGCGTAGAGGCGCAGCCAGACGCGGGGAGCCAGGAAAGGCGCCCCGGCCCCGCAACCCCCCGCCACGAGGGAGCGCCCGCGCGTCCCTGGCCCCTCGGGGGAGGCTCCTCTACGCCTGCACCTCTCCTCTGCCCCAGGCCCGAGCCCCCAGAGCGGGATGCGGGAGACGATGTCCAGGTCGCAGCGGCAGTGGCGGTGGGCCAGCAAGAGCACACGATGGAGGGCCGGGAGTCCCCTCCGCGCCCCGCCTCTCCGAAGAGCTCGGACAAGTCCAAGAGCTTCAGCATAGACAGTATCCTGGCGGGACGGCAGGACCAGAAGCCAACTGCAGGGGCCGAGCTCCTGGGAGTTGCCAAGCAGGGGCCCAGCGGCTGTCTCGGCACCTCGATTCTTGCCACCCCCGCTAACCTCCAGCCACCTTTCAACGCTTCCCTAATGCTCGACCCGCACGTCCAGGGCGGCTTTTACCAGCTCGGGATCCCCTTCCTCTCCTACTTCCCTCTGCAGCTCCCTGACCCCGTGCTTCCCTTCCAGTAAAGCGGACGGCGGAGCCGGTCTCTCCCCGCCCTGGTCTGAGCTGCTTGTGAGCCGCCACGGCTCCCACCGCTGGGGGAAGGATTCACTTTTTATTTTTCTTAAAGATCTTTTCCTCGGCTGAGGTGTGGACCTTGGAAAGTCTTTCCAACTTATGCGCGCAGGTGGGGGGACCTTCTTGGAGGGCACCTGCCCGAACCCGGACGTCTTAGGATATTAAAAAGATCCTGCCCCGTGGGAGTTGGGCATCTTAGACCTACTGCGCCAGCAGGAGAACACCTTGACCTCAGGTCAGTTTAAAGGTGCGGTCTTCAGCCACTCCCCACAGGTCCTGCGCGTCTTGGGCAGGGGCAGGCCCAAACAACCCGAAGGCAGGACAGAGGGACGTCGTGTGGTTCTTTCAGTCTGAGAGCCACCGGCGTTCGGGCTCACCGTCCCCAGCTCTGCCATGCTGGGACTCAGGACTTGGCCTTCACCCCTTGGGATGACGCGCGTTGGCAGCTGGGTTTGCCCCGAGGTCCAGTTGTGGGGACCCCAGGGTGATCCGTTCTCCAGGTCCTTTGGCAGATCTAAGGCCCTGGTGAGGATTTGCAACCAACATCCAGGTGGAAGATGAGAAACCACACTTTGACTTTAAATACAGAAATTTTCTTTTCTTCTTCTTTCTGGACAGTAACGACAACATGTTCTGTTCTTTGGCTAAGTACTTGATTCTTGTTATTCTAACGACTGCCCCGTGAGAACATTTATGTTAACAACTGCTAAGAAGGTGCACTCTATGTAACATAGCTTTAGTCATTAGCCGACACACTCGTCCCCGCGCATGTCACCAGCCACAGCCATCCCGTCTTTTTGCTTTTGTTTGGAGGGGGTCAGAGATTTCAGGGGAGACCGGAAGTGTGTGAGGAGGAGGGAAGATGTCTCAGACAACACTGAGATTTTTGATTTCCCTGTTTTTTTCGAGATCTAGGTTTGACTGTGTTCGCATTTTCCAGAGCTGTGCAGTGAAGGACCACTGTGCATGGAAAAGGCTGGGTGAGACAGACACATGGAAGGCAGGCAGAAGGAGAGGTGTGCCGGGGCGGGGGGAGCAAGGGGTCTGCCAGTGTCAGCTGCAGGCCGCTCTCCGGGCTCTCTGGACCTCAAGGAACAGAAGGCACAGTGGGAGGATTCTTGTAGACATTCCCAGCCGACAGCATCCCAGCCTGCAACCTGACCCCGCTCCTCCCTCCAACCCCTACCACGCAGACCCAGAGCCGGCAGCTAAATAAACCCGTTATGGAGGTGACTGGAAGTCTGCTGGGAAGGGTGGGTCACCAGGCAGGGGTCTGCCGCAAAGATCTGGTGAAGAAGATTGAGATTTTCACAGTTTAGTGTAGCTTGGAACTTTCAGAAAATGCATCTGAACTCTTGTGATCTGTCTTTGGGTTGTCTTAGGGCTTCTGGAACTTGATTTTCTGAACCTCCCAGTTACTTTAATTTTATGTGATGCTGGAAAGGCACAGTAAGTCATGAGTTCTTGGAGGTGGGCTGAGCTAGGTCTTCAAACTAACTTTTAAATAGTTTCCAGGACTTGTATGAAACTGGACACAGACTTTACATCAAGAGAGACTGTTAGCTAATGTGTTGGAAGGGACATTTAGGACAGTCATAATCATTTCATAATTAGTAGGCACAGAGTTGACTTTCTGAGAATCCATCCTTAGAGCCATGTGCTACAAACTCGTGTTTCCCTGATGGCATTCCACCCAGGCTGGTGGGAACACTTCAGGGAGCTGCAGAGCGTCCTTGACTGGAATAACTTTGTCGAGACCTAGGCTCGTGGGGAATCTGAAATGTGGTGGAAGGGCTGCCATCAGCTGTTTTGTTGTCCCAAAGTCTCAGCCTCTGTGAATAAAGTTGTTTTTTTGTTAACCTCTCAGTGACTGGCTCAGTGGATTACTGGGAGGGAACACAAACAGTGTTAATAGGAACCAGGGCACTGGGATTCTGTTTGGGAACCCCATCAGCATCTCAGGGGCTTGAGCAGAGCACCCGGGACCAGCGGGTACTGCCTGAATGCCACAAAGGAAGATGAAAATTCCGCTCTGTAGGTAGGACATGTTTCTATTTATTCTTCTTTTTTGTGTGTGTTTTATTTGCTATCTTGTGTGTTTTGTTAATTTACGAGGGCTCTTTTCTGGAGAAGTCAATAACCTAATACTGCCATTTTAAAAGGATGATATTTTAGAGTTATAGTTCCAAAGCTATAATATAAACATTATTTTTATGTCACAGGGAAAAAAAGGCAGAAGTGTGTACCTGCTTTGTGAGGGGGTTCATCCATATAACCGGAGAAATTCTGTTCCCTCATCCCCACATTCATGTGGTTCAGGAAAGCCAAGAGAAATGGACAGTGGGTCATCGTCTGTGGATTCTCTACCATTTTATGTGTATGTCTCCCTACTGAAGAGAAAGAGGAGCTTTGGTCTTAGTAATCCAATAGCTTTACTAATGTTCCAGACTTACTGATGGGCTACAAATTACGGATCAGTGAGACCAAGAAGTGGATTCTACCCTTAACTGAAATATTTAGGGTGAGCCAGAAGTAACCGTACTCGTAGGCAATCTGAAGGTGTGCTTCTGTGCTCTCAGCGAAACAAGGGGTACACATTTTGTTTTCTGTAAATGATCTTTGGTTCAAGTCCTGGTCTTTCTCTCTCTCTCTCTCTCATACACATGCACACATGTGCATATACTGATCATCATATGGGGGATATGGCAGGTATATGTACGATGATAAATAAGTAATGCATATACATGTGTGCACATATATGTATACATTCATGCGTGTATGCGTGTGGATATATGTATATATGTGTGTGTTTGGTACATACCGATGCTTGGAAATTCATCTTTTTTGCACGTAGGTGGGACAGATAGTCTCAAATCTAGTGCAGAATCCTTTCAAAATAATCCAAGTATTGACACTTTTGGAAAGATTTTGTTTTTCTATATAGCTCAAGCCTGGCATAATTTAGTTTTTGTATTATAGTGAGGTGAACAGGGACTTTATGAAATGATCTTGGCAGATGTGCCCACCTGAGACCTTCACTTGCATGACTTGGACGATCAGAGAACTTTGCAAAGACCTTCACTTTGTCTGGCCTTGGATATTTGCTGCCTCTGAGGTTATTAACCTCCTGGGTCTCCAGTGCCCCATACCATTTTCTAGAACCTGAACAGGATGTGGTTAGCCGTTTTCACATATAATTGTGTCTCTCTGAAAAGGAGGCCGCATGTGGTCTCTACCATTTCATGTAAAGTGGTCAGTGTATATCCACGTGTGGGTTAAGAGTTGGCCACACGTGATGATATTGTTACAGCTGGAGGCCAGGGCCTGTCTGCCCAGACACTGGAAGGCTAATGTTAGCAGCACAAGAGTGGGCGGCGTTTCCAGGAACAAGCTGGAGCGAGAGCCAGGACTTGGTGGGCTTCCCGTGTGCGTGACGGCTGGAGTCTTGCGTCCATGAAGTAGGGGTTGTTTTATAGAGTCAAAAATACACAATAACGAGCAAAGTTTATTATAAAATTAGAGAGCATCGGTTTGTCGGAAAAATAAGGATTTGATTCATATTTCAAGCAGTTTTGACCAAATCCTAAATAGCCAAATGGCAAGTTCTTTACTACACGTGTCCTTCTTCAGAGGCCCCAAGTTCATGGTTCTCAGGGTGACTTACGGTGGGGCCATAGGGAGCGGGGGGCCTGGGCTGAACTGGGGAGGGGTGGTCCTGTCTCTCCCAATGGCATCCAAATGCCAAATGCACTGGGCTTACCGGCCAGATGTGGATTCAAGCCCAGGGTCTACACCAGTGGGCAGATGACGTAGAGCACAGAATTTAGCTCTCCCCTGGGAGGTGGCTGTGGGAAGGGAGTGGGAGGACCTGTCATAAGTCTGGAAGGTACATAGTTGAGTCAGGTATCTTTAATGATCCTGGCAGTAAGGAGGGAGGCCAGAGGGGAGGTGGTAGGGCAAAGATTCGGTACCAGTGACCTTTCTCGCCATCAGGCACGAGAATCAGGATTCCAGGAGGAAACAGAAACCCACTGAGAAACAGAAACCGTCTGGGAAAGAAGGCGATGAGGAGACTAGTTACAGGGAAGGGACACAAGGGAAGAGACTGGCCCAGCCCAGGGTGGGCACAGGGGAGTGTGGATGCAGCTGCAGTGCAGGAAACAGCCGGAAGAAACACTCCACCTCTCTCCTCTCCCACCCTCCTCATGTTGATATGTCTGATTGGCTGAACCCTTCTCAAAGTCCCGCCTACCAGGAGCTGGGATGTTGCAGTCCATAGGGCTCAGCCGGCAGGGGCAGAGCAGGGGCTGAGAATGCACAAAGCTGGGGGAGGGCCAAACAGAGATGGCCCTGCACAGTAGAGGACTTTCCTTTGGAACCAGTGCTTGCAGTTTCCCTGACCACACCTTTGATATTCAAGAGCCAAGACTAGGATGTCCCTCATAGTACTGATGGCTGCACCTAGCCTTCTAGAAAACTGGAATCCTCTCATCTGCCAAGCTTCCAAGAAAAGGAGGTTCCAGACCCTAATCTGGGGCCCTCTTAAGTGGGCAGTTCCTGGGCCTGAGTTCAGCCCCCCAGGACCCTGTCCCCTGGCCATACGGACTCTGCCTTCACTGATTTGAACCTGGAAAAGTTTTGCTGAGTTGCTAGGGTCTGTGCATGATGGTACGTAGATTTGTTATCAGTTTGTTGAGCACCTAAAACAAAGTTATCCCTTACTGGGTGAGGTCCTGAGTGTGACCGATGCTATCTCACCCTTTCAGAACATGTGAGCCACACACTGGCGAGCGTGTCCTCCTGCCCAAGTCCAGAGGAAATAGGGTGCAAACGAAGTGTCTCGGCCACAGGTGGCGTCTTAAGTCCGGCCTTTTGGAAGGGTGGACAGACGACACCCTGGTGTTCACAAGATCCTGTCACCTTGGACAACAGGAACTTTAAAGTGTGACTCAGACCCTCGTGATGTGCAGTGTAAAATACAAACATCGTGCCCCTGCAGCATCTGGGCTGCACGCAGCTCTGCCGGGTAGCTGGTCACGTCTCCTGCTCTGTGCTTTTCCAGGTCTCTGTAGGCACATCTCTCTCGTTGACGTCTTACTGACTTGTTACCATGTAGCAATTTGATACTCAGGTGGGGCTGGGGAGAGCTACATTGACCTTGTCATATGTGTGGCCTTAGCCCCCCCAGACAGGGGCTAACGACCCAGCTCTGCCTTTATTTGCTGTGTGACATTAGTACCTTAAAGGTAAAGTAACTACGCTCTTCTATGCCTCAACTTTCTCATCTGTACGAATGGGGATAATATGAGCGCCTGCCTCATTGGGTCGTTGGGAGGAGTAAATTAAATGAAGGGTATACATTTCAAGGCCAGTTCTCATCTGCAAAATGGGAATAACCGTAATTCCTCCTGCATAGGACCACTGTCAGAATTACGTTAGTTAATATATGTGAAATGCCTGGTACCCAGAAAGCGTTTAATAATGGGAGGTTTTGTTGCTGTGTACAGACATGGCCTCTAATCTAAACACATTTGTTTTACAATTCCACGGTGACTTCTTAGTTCAGTAACAAAGGCAGGAACCAACAGCTCTCATTCACGTTACATGATGCTGGAGGTAAAGGGAGACTCCTGGGGGCTGATTTCTCCAGTTCTCCCAGCCAGGTGGGCTGGGGTCCGTTTCCATCTCTTCATTGCAATGTTACATCTCTTGAGGTGATCCAATCGTTTGAACATGAAACCAAAAGCAAAATAAGCAGCTCCGTATGGCAGGGGAGCCTAGGAAAACCACAGGAGAGTTGATTTTCACAGGCCGAGGAGTGCAAAATCCCTTTGGGGTTTCCTTGCTTTGCCCAGGAGCTTAAAAGGGGCTCCCAGGGCTGGCAGCCCAGCCATTGTGAACACAGAGGCTTTGGGAATGAATAAAAGTCCTTATTTCTGCCCCCAGCACCGAGACCGTTCCTGTAGGCCAGAGAGAAGCTCCACCCTGCTCCTGGGGAGACAAGGACCAGACTGGGGAGCAGTTGTTCAAAGCCCGCCTTATAAAGTGGAAGGAACATTTCTTTAAATGCTGTGGCTAAATATAGCAGGGGCTTGGTCAGTTAGAACATTTTTAGAAAGCACATTACAAATCAGGAATGTTTTGGAGAAATAAATAAACTTTCCCACATTTTTGGACTTCAAGCCGGCACTGGGGGCTTCATCTGAGAGCATGATGGGGGGGTGGTGATGAATAATTCATGCTGGGCTCTAGCTGGTGCCCTGAGTGCACTGGAAGTGACTTTGTCCTTGCGTCACTGGGTGTGGGGTTACAGGACAGGGGTGGGGTGGGGGTGGAAGACACTGCCGGGTTAAGGACAGTCCAGTGTCTGGGCTGAGTAAGGGTCACTCGGTGACATAGGAAGTGAGCATTAAAGAGAAATAAATCTATTTTCAGTGCATTTCATCTCTTAGGTCTGCTGTCTGCTCTAGTGTCCACTGGACTTACACACGAGATGAGACCACTCTCAAGAGGCCCTGGTGCCCAGTCCTCTGCTACAGAATGACCTGAAGCCCCTTCCCCCTCTCCCCGCAGTCCTATCCCCCGGGACTCCCATTCAATCTGCCTGTGGTGGGACCAGACGGTGTGTTTCCAGAAACACCCTCAGGGGAGTCAGTTCTGCAGCCAGAGCCACGGCGGTGAGGTCCCAGCACTGCCAGGCAGGTCTGTTGGGCTCGAAGGAACCGTGTAAAGTGTTTGTCCATCTTTTGTCCTTTCTTCCCCTCCATCCATATTTATATGCAATAGACTCTCAGCTTCTCTCGATGGTCTGTCTTGTCCTCCTCTATGTTGAGTAAAGTTGTCTCCACTACGGAA